ATTCAAGAGCTTAATAAAGATCAGGATGGGGAAGTAATTATTAAGTCAGATCAGGTTTATTGGCGTCGTCACTTTCCTGAATTCAAGAAAAACTATCTACGTGATTATCCCAAATGCCATAAACTTTCTCGTTATAGGCAGGAGCTTTTACAACAATCGCAATTAGTTTTATCTTCAACTATATCAGGAAAAAGATCTCAAGAACACATATCTGAATCTGAATCTGAAACGAATTTTGATAATGATTCTGACTATAGTCGTCAACAGTCTATGGCCGAATCTAGCACTACTGCAGCAAAAAGAAAACCTAACAAGCGATTGAAACGTCGAATCGAACAATTTATAAACGATTCGGATCATGATGATGTAAATATATCAAATTCTCGTATGATGCTTGATGATAATTATTTTGTTCAAAGACCTGTAGAGGTTATAGAAATGACCGATGAGTATGTTAGTAATCAAGGTCGATCACGTTTAACACGGCGAGAAATTATAGAGAAGCAAAATGAAGAAAGTCGTCGTCTCAATGAGGAGAATGCGAATATTTAGTTAATAAGTATAGCTTAATAATTATGATTACGGTAATTATTGGTCATTTCTATATATAAAGCCTTGATATATATATTTTTAATATATATTGTATTTTCAAAATAAATTTAAATAATTTTTTGTTATTTAAAAATAATTTAGATAATTTTTTAATTGTAGTTGAACCATGGATTGATGGTGACTATAGAATAGCTTTTTTAAATAATTTTAAGTTTATTAATGATTTAACGGACTATAGTTTTGAGGGTAAGCGTGAAATTAAAGAGTTATTTTATTTTGACTATAATAAGGGGTTTCCAAGTTTTGTATTTTCTAATTGTGATATTTTTGGTTATAAAGTATATTTTAAAACTAAATTAATTTTAGAGTTTAACTCTGGAAAAGTTTATTCTTATATTTTACAAAAATTGGATTTTCTCGAGTATAATATGGCTATTATAAAAATACAAATGGCTATCAATCAATTAAAGACGTTTGTCGATACTGGTATTGAGGCAGTATGTCAGAAGATGCTTAACGGATCTATTACTAGTAAAGCAAGTTCTCAATTAAATTTTAGAATGAAAGGAGAATTGTTCTTCCTGTAGGAAACTACAGTTTCAAAGAATTTACATCTACCACAAAAAAAAAACCAGATACTATTATCTTCAGATTTAGTTAATATGAGCCAACTTTCTACTGGACAATCACATTTTTTTGAAAAATTTTTCACACCATACCAAAGTTTAAAGAATTTAAAACACCCTGCGTAAATAAAAAAATTGTTTACATGTTCGCATGGTTTTACTTTATTACAATTGTTGATAATTGTTCCCATTATGATGATTTTCCAAAAATTTAAAATCATCGATTTTCTCTCCATTTTAAAGAAATTGATAATGTTGGGGTTTAAATTCTTTTCACAATTTAATTGTTGTGCCCAAAGCAAGCTCAACTCTGTTAGTTCTTTTTTTTGCTCAAAGGGAAAGTACTCAAAGAAGAGTCTGATCAAATGTTTTTCGGCGGAATCTTTGACAAGTCTGTTCGTTTTTCGTAGGTTATCAATGCATCGTTTCGGGTGTTCTCGATAACGAATTATGTGCGAATGTGTCTTGATTATTTTTTCAAAAAAAATATATTCGCAGTAAAAGTTGATGGTCATCTGAACGATTTCATACGGTAGTAGAATCATGTCTCATCAATGTGTTTTTTTTAACAAGCGGCCGTTACTTTAAATAAATATTTGATTTTGTCATAGATTTGGACCAAAGTGGGTAATTCTACATTACCCAATTTGTAAAATGCTTTTGGCTACAGAATGGGCCAAAGTGGGTAATTCGACATTACCCAATTTGTAAAATGCTTTTGGTAGTAGAATGAGCCAAAGTGGGTAATTTAACATTACCCGATTTGTAAAAAATTTATTTTATTTTTGTAATCTAATTTAAGAAACTCTTGAATTTTTTAGACTAATTTAAAAATATATAAATATACGTATGTTTATTCCTATATAAACTAAAATGCCTCCAATTAAATCTACCAAGCGAACTCTTCCAATACAAAATTTTGATCAATTTGGATTCAAGATTAAAACCGTTGCGTTAAGAAACAAGAAAAATGCTGCAAGACTTTTCTTTTTAAAATTAACGGATCCTGATAGTAGCAATGTTGGTACTGTAATACCTGAAAATATTACTATCGAAGATTTTTCTGATCAAATCGAAGAATGTAACCCATGGCCAAACACAAACGACTTCTTAATTCATCTTAATCATATTTATATAATCAAATATAAAGGTGTTAAAATTTATCAGATGAATTT